AACCACTGACTGTGCATGCGTTCCCGTTGCAGCACAACTGGCTGAGATTCGTAAGGTGACAATGGCACGCATCATGTGCGCGAACACCGACGACATGCGCACCATGCAGCCACGATGCATGTTCCAGGACGACAACAGCGGGTGCGTAGATATCGATCGATAATCGATAATCGATAACCAATAATAAATTATTATTTAGTTATTTAATCGAAAAAATTGTTTCCTGGTCTTTCTCTTTATTAATGATAGGGTGCCCTGGCTGATGTAACGTTAATAAATTGTAGATTAGCCAACAGATAGCGATATGTGTCCTGCATGAGATATAGCTGTATGCCCAGCCTGCCTCAAAGCAACATTCTGCTTGCATCTATGACAAATATTTTAGTAATATACTATTTCATTTATTTGATCAGCCTGTTCTGCTAGCATTTATGACAAATACGACATACGCTCCCTTATGACACTATTTGTCATAGGAAGATTCTTCTTATGACAAATATTGGCGAGTCGACTTCGTTCTGCTTTACAGCTGAAATGCACTGCTTGCGTTCATAGAATCTTTTTATGACAAATAGTGTCATAAGAGAGCGTATGTCGTATTTGTCATAGATGCTAGCAGAACAGGCTGATCAAATAAATGAAATAGTATATTACTAAAATTACACGTGTAATTTAGAGAGCACACACCCACCAGGTACTTTATTGATCGTGAGGCGCCTACCTATACCAAATTTTCCTGTAGACGAGTGGGAGACATGTATTCGCGCATGCCCAGTATCAAACCAAATAAAATGGTATTTTGCTGAAAATATGCGTGTAAAGGGAAGAGCAAATACTCGTTGAAGTAGTTTGACATAAAAAATAATTTCCGATTACTTCTTCACAATGATAGGATGCCAATGGTTCATTGCTGATGTGACACTAATAAAATGTATATCATGTGCTCCCTTGACCCCAAAGGCTACGTATATAATATAATATATAATATAATATATATATATATTTATTTATTTATTTATTTATTAATTAATATTTATATTATTATTATTATATATATATATATATATATATTATTTACAGTCATTTTTCTCGTATTTTTGTTCTCTGTTTGTTTTGACTACTCATTAATCCACACCAACACGTTTCACGCAGTAACTCGAAGCGCGACTGCGACCGACTTCCGGAGATGAATCTATCCGTGTGGCGCGACGGCATTCACAATGACCTTGACGGAGCCTTCGGACCCGGCGGCCTGCCGGGCCTCAGCCGTAACATCAACCCGCTGCTGGCGTCTTCGTCGCTGCAGCAGTCGCCACGCTTCCCGGCCTTCTCGAACATAGGCTCCGGCTTGCCGAGCGCAGACGACATCCTCAGCAAAGTGGCGGCCGGAGTTCGGACGTTCAATTACCAGCCGCCGGCGCCGCCCGGGCCCGCCCACCCCGCCCACCTGCTCGCCATCGCCACCCAGGCGCAGGACATCGCTCCGTTCAAGAAGTAAACTCTCCGGTTCATGAAGTAAACTCTTTTTACTCGAGACGTAACCTTGCGTTCAGAAAGCAACTCTCCATTCAGGACGCAACATTTCCGCTCAAGAAGTAATCTCTCTCTTTCTCTCTTCGAAAAGTATTCAATAATAATCAAGAAGTAATTCGCCGTTTAAGAAGTAACTGTCTGTTACAAGAGGTATCCAATGCTCAATCCGTAACACGCCGATCAATAAGTAACTCTCTGTTCAATAGATATTCAATGTAAAGGAGATAAAACTCACGAGACACGCATTTATAGATGCTGCGTAGCATAGACGTAACTAATAGCCCTATTAAAGTACGGATGTCCTACGTATCATCTTTGAGATTACGAGGATTATTACGTACTTCGGTGACGAGGGTGAGTAGGGTTTGAGAGACTGTTCAAGTAGTTATTTCTCGGGGCGTCAGAAAAATGGCCGCCGTTCAACCTCATTTTACTACAACCTTGGTGGTTCTTCTCGTTGTCGTCTGGAATAAGCGTAACAGTCAATGCTAAGCTTGGCTTCTCCACTGCGACGATGTTTCTATCGAGTAATACCCAGCTGTCTTCAGCCTCCCTAAACTCTCTCTCTCTCTCTCTCTCTCTCTCTCTCTCTCTCGCTCTCTCTCTCTCTCTCTCTACTCTCTCTGCTCTCCTCTCTTTGACTCCTCCCCCCTCTCCTATCTCTCTCTGACTCTCTTGCCCCTCTCTCTCTCTCTGACTTTTTCTCTCTCTCCTCCTCTCTCTCTCTCTCTCTCTCGCTCTCTCTCGCTCTCCTCCTCTCTCTCTCTCTCTCTCTCTCTCTCTCTCTCTTCCTCTGTGTGTGTGTCTCTTTCCCTCTCTTGCTCAACTTCGATTAGTATATCTTCGTGGTTTAAAGCCGGTTTAGTGGTAGCTATAGCAAGTGTAGATACATATAAGAAACGCTGTGCTATACATTCTTTTGTTTATTATAGACTAGATATGTGTTTCGAAAAACTGACACCACTGCTTCGATCTATCGATCAGTCCTTCGATCGATGGCCGATCAGTCTGTTCACCCGTTTATCGATTAGTTGGTCGGACAGCCAGAGGGGTGTCCGGTGATATGACAAGTGCCGCGATGTTGCGGCAACACGAGATCGATATTCTGATTGATCGATTGCTATACAACGAGGACTAGGCGAGCCGGCACCACCCGCAAGTTCATCCTCGTCGTGTTACGTCACCCTTGTGTGTGTACATGTGCGCGTCTTACTCTCGTTACGTCGTGACGTCACCGAGTGTGTGCGTTATTATTGTATTGTTAAATAAAGGTTGAGAGCAATGGAGGCAACTCGAGCGTGCCGCCGACATGCGCCCATTCCAGCTGTATTATAGTGTGTCACGGTTCGGCGGGGAAAATTAGCGTTGTTTTATTTGGATTATTTAGTCGTTTTTTTCAGTTATTTGGCATCGCTGCGGCGTCAGTAGTAGCAGTAGCAGTAGCAGTAGCAGTAGCAGTAGCGGTTCGCTTTCGCATCACCGTTATTATAGGCGAATGACGTCACCTGCTGCTATATATATTATATATATATATATATATATATTATATATTATATATTATAATTATATAATATATATTATATTATTGTAATATATTATATGTATATATATATATACGGTGTGTTATTTTATCGATGGCACACCGTGAGATTGCATGTGGATGTGGAATCGCGCGGTATGTGACGAAATTCGCTTCTCTACATGACAGTTACGACGTTGGTTCTTATGCGGCGATACGATGTGATTCAATGCGAGATAGTGTTGTCCCTGTAAGCACGCCACTCTCCCTACAGATACACACAGACACAGACACAGACACACACACAGCACACACCAGCACACACACACAACACACACACACACACACACACACACACACACACACACACACACACCATATATAATAGACATTTGTAAAACACCCACACACCATATATATAGACATTTGTAAAACACCTTGTGGCTTAAGGGACTTTTGTAAACTATGTTTCGTTCCTTTCTTCTAGCTCACGTAATGTGAGAACTGCTCAGACTACGCGACGCGAAATTATTAATAGGAACCAAACTAGCTGCTGGTAACCCGCGCGCTGGGGTAAAGCGACGTGCTACTAATTCATAACTACTGAATAATGGGACACAATAGGAACATTGGTAAAAATCGACATAACATTGCACAGAAAATTAGAATATTTAGAGAAATTCAGTCTAATAAGATAAAATAAGCATGGGAAAAACTTGTTACGTATGCACATTTATATGACAGGCACAACCCAACTAGAGAACCACTGGAACATAATAGTAAATATGGTGTAAATGACAAAAAGTATTTATAACAGCATGTAGCGAATGGTTGGACTTTCATTGTGGAACCTCTTGATGAACAATGTTTTTCGTGTTATTCTCTGTGCGAAATATGTAAGATTTCCTTGGGTCTTCGAAACTGTTAGAGCCTCCACACGTACGGCATGCCACGTATGGCACGTAACCAGCATGATACGAATGGTTGCGCCTTCTCATTCAAAGCTGTTTGATAAAAATGCGCTCGTAAACCTTTGAAACTGGCTGTGCTGTTTTTAGCTCGGTGCTCGTTTGCGGTTTCACCAATCGTTTTCGGTTTCCGGCAAGCTGATGGAATGAGTGATCGATTTTTCCCCCTCTATGTGGCAGCACTGTGGCGGGGCGCAGTGAGTGGTGAATTGTGGAAGAATTGACGAATTAACGGTTTTTTCAGCGATTTTCGGTGAGTTTGACACGTTTGGCAGCGTTTTCTTAAGCTACGAACATCTCGCGGTATAGAGATGCCCATGATCGGTGTGAAAATTGCCATCCAGATCGCCTTGGGCGGTTTGGCCGGCTCATAGGGAAATACCATACATACGATAGCATACATACATACATACATACATAACTACATACATACATAACGAACTCAAATATATATTAAGATAACCGATTTACGGGCCAGTTCTCTCCTCTCCACTTTAGTCAATAGAAAGAAACAGAAGTTGAAGAGGCGTGGAACCAGTCTAATCCAATGCTTACGCACGAGCACGGAGTCCGCCTATCGTGCGCATGCGCAATTCTCCATCTAGAGGGCGCTGTCGTCGGAAAATTAATAACAGAGGGATCGCGTTAGCGTGAATGAATTTTTTGTAGTGTTCGGCAAAATCGTAGAAAATTTTTTACGGGTGTGCTTACGAGGAAAGCCAGTAGCTGGATATATATATCGTTAGGTTATCAACCGCTATTCGACGACAGCGGCGCGCTAGTTGTGAAACCTAATTGGAGACAGTTTCTGCTATCGGCCACAGCAGGGGGCATCGAATCGCGCTAGGCCTTACATAAATGCGACAACCGACGGCGAAATAAATAAATTGCCATGTGTTTATTACTTGTACGAACGCGTTCTTCTCTCGCATTTCATTTTCGTTCGTCGCGCTCTCTTCTTTCCCCCCGTACTTGTCAACGTAAGTGTCTTCGCATATCCGTGTCAAGGCCTTCCATTCCTTGTCGCCTAGAGTTACAACTGTCCACACAGATCGTTATAACAACTAATCAATGTCAATTCGTCGCTGCGAAAGATGCGCTCACGCGTAACTTTTCTCAACAAAGCGTATATAGGAAAACGCACGTAAATAACAGTCATTCTAGCTATACGTGGATGTAGGCCTTGAAAGAAAACAAATGGTGGTGGGACCGTACGAACTAGAAAACGGTAAAACCACTGCAGCTAAGAACAAGAGTCGGCACCTGCACAGCCTACCAGCACAACACGGCAGCCATTGACTATATATATAACAACCATATATGTATAAACAATATAATATATATACTATATATATATATATTATATATATTATAATATATATTTATATATATATATATATAATTTATATATATATTGATATACTATATCTTATATATATGTTTATATAAACATATATAAACACACATATATATAATATATATATAACTAGAGCAGTCGGAGAGCACAGACCTCCGCCAAGGCAGCTCAATTCTCTCACTGTAAAAAAATTAATTAAAAAATTAATTGGATCTGGATCACCACCAAAATGTAATCAATTCTAAGTTACCCCATTTCTGACCTATCCTAAAAATTTAATTAATTAATTAATTAATTAATTGGATCCGCATCACCACCAAAATGTAATCAATTCTAAGTTACCCGATTTCTGACCTATTCTGAAAATTTAATTAATTAATTAATTAATTGGATCCGGTTCACCACCAAAATGTAATCAATTCTAAGTTACCCGATTTCTGACCTATTCTGAAAATTTTATTAATTAAGCACATACGCAAGCATGCACACATACACATCCTCACACACATACAACTCGTGTTCGTTGTTGCGATTTCTTGCGGTGCCACACGCCCGCCTTCTCTCAATACGGCTTACGCGATGAGCACAGTTCTGCATGTAATCCGTCTGTAATACTTTTGTACAGGCGTGCAAATTGTAACAAACACTAATAGTGGGGCAGATATGTGTATAATATCAGAAGGATTGTGCATTTTGTGGTAAAAGCACCAAATTTAGTACAGACATTGCTTAATATATACTTAACAAATTTAGATATCGTGCCATGCTCAATTTTTTCCCTGGCCCCCACAAATAGCAAAATCCAAGATGGCCACCATCCGATTCCGGAATATCTTAAAAATGACATATCTTTGTTAAAAAATGTCGTGCAAACATGAATAAAGTGTAATTTTCTATGTTTTCATACATGCTGAATCCATTCCAACAACAAACGAGTTGATAAAATGCACCAAAACTAATGAAATGGTCAATTGTATGATTAACTCTAAGATGGCCGCCCATTTCAACTGACTGAACTCATTCCCGTACGTTACGGAATAATACTTTTAACTAGCAGCTGTCCATGCTAATTCCTTCACATATCCTTGGGGATTATATTTAACTCCCCCGAAGAAGCGTTGCAGTGAGGGGAAGAACAAAGTTTAACGTTATACGTCTAAATGGTTGTTACTGGATATCACTGTATTGTGAGTTTTTCTGCTACTTCTTCAGTCAATGCTATCAGTGTCAGGTATTATTGTTGTTCAGCACAAAGAGAGAGAGAGAGAGAGAGAGAGAGAGAGAGAGAGAGAGAGAGAGAGAGACCGCGCCCGCGTAAGAGATTGATAGAGAAAAGTAGTGAGAGTGAAATCAAAGGAGAGAGAGAGGGGGAAGTGGGGACAAGAGAGAGAGAGAGAGAGAGAGAGAGAGAGAGAGAGAGAGAGAGAGAGAGAGAGAGAGAGAGAGAGAGAGAGAGATAGAGATAGAGATAGAGAGATAGAGATGAAAAGACAGAAAGAAAGAGAGATAGAGAGAGAGAGAGAAAGCGAGAGAGCGCGAGATCGCGGGCGAAATAACGAGAAAGAGAGTGAGAAGGTGTTAGAGAGAGAAAGAATGAGAGAGAGAGAGAAAGAGAGAGAGAACGAGAGAGAGAGAGAGTAGAGAGATGAGAGAGAGAGAGAGCGAGACAAGAGGATCAGAAGAGCGCGCGCAGCGCGCGGAGAGAAGAGAGAGAGAGAGAGCGAAGCGAGCGAGGAGAGAGAGCGAAAGAGAGCGCGAATGAGAGAGAGAGATGAGAGAGAGAGGAGAGAGAGAGAGAGAGAGAGAGCGAGGACAAAGGAACAGAGAGAGCGCGCGCGCAGAGAGGAAGAGAGAGAGAGAAGAGAGCGAAAGAGAGCAGAGAGGAGAGAGAGAGAAGGAAAAAAGAGAGAGCAATGAGAGAGAGAGGAGAAAGAAAGAGAAAGAGCGCGAGAGGAAGAGCGAAGAGAGCGAGAGAGAGAGAGAGCGCGAAAGGAGAAAGAGAGAGGAGAGAGCGCGCGCTGAAAGAGAAGGAGGAGCGAGAGAAGCGAGAGGATGAGGCGAGAGAGCCAGAGAGCGAGAGAGACGAGAGCGCGCGCAAAGAGAGAAAGAGAGAGAGAAGAACAGAGAGAAAGATGAGAGAGAGCGAGAAAAAGAGGAAAGAGAAGAGAGAGAGGCGCGCGAAGGAAGGCGAAAGAAAACGAGAAAGAGAGAAGCAAAGAGAAAGCGCGAAAGAGAGAGATGAGAGGAGAGAGACAGAGAGCGG